GGAAACCTGAAGCAGTGAGTTGGGATGATCAGAGAAGGTGTCTCTGTCAGCTTGGTCAATTTTTTGCCGCATAACAAAAAACTCCATGGCTTACAGCAACGGTACAGAATTTGTCGCTCAGTGTAACAGTCCCAACCTGGTGGACAGTCCCATCCCTGGTGGCTGGGTTCCACTGCATGTCAGTGGGAGGGACAGCCCCTATTGGGACCCTGCTGGTTTCACAGTGGAGGGACAAAAGGGTGACGCCACACACTGGCTCATGCAGCCTCTGCTCAGCAGTGGCATATGTCATGCCAGTTATATTTCAGTGGCCAGAGCAAGTCACGTGGCCAAGTCTGATATCAACAGGCAGGAGATGCAGAATCCTCCCACAGGGCGAGGCAGCAACTATTAATATTTAGACAATAACCCAATCCTCACAGAGCCAGCTGGACGAGGGGCTGACCACACGTGGCCTGAGCTCTCCGTCCCAGCCACGTCCAACCAGCGAGGTCCTGCGATAAAGCCACCGTCGGTGGTGCTCCGTTTTAATTAGGCTCATCCTTGTGTCTAAATTGTAATGAGCTTTCTCTCTGTCTTAAATTCACCTAAAAACTGGTGGTCGGTGTGGTGCCCACAGGAGAAAAGTTTGCAAACCAGTGTGTGGGCCACAAGCTCTCGCTCTTGGCTGGTGGGAACGCAGAGCTTTGTGACCACTCAGGCGGTTTCCTACCAAGCTCGCCACGCTCACCATGCGACCCGGGCCATGCTTCCTGGTATGAATTACCCAGAGGAGGTGAGAACGTGTGCTCACGCCGAAACCTGTACCACACTGTAGCCATAGCTGCCCACACTTGTGGGCAACCCAGACGTCCTCCAGCAGATGACGGATGAGAAAACTGTGGGGCACCCACACGGTGGAATATGACTCAGTGCTGAAGAGAAATGAGCCTTCAAACACTGAAAAGACACAGAGGAAAAGTAAATGCACATCACTGATTAAAAGAAGCCAGTCTGAAGAGGCCACATGCTGTATGATTCCAACTAGGCGACATTCTGGAAAAGGCAAAACTACGGAGACAGTGAAAAGACCAGGGGTTGTCCAGAGGGTGGGCAGGTCGGGGTGAGCGGACGGAGCATAGAGCCTTCTTAGGGTGATGGGACTACCCTGAGTGAGGCTGTGTAATTGTGGATACAGAACATTATACGTCTGCAAACCCATAGGACACACAACACCAAGAGGGAACCCTTATACAGAATATAGACTTAGGTAATAATAATGTATTTAATTTTTTGTTTGTCTGTTTTAAAAAACAGTCCTCTCGGGACAGAATCGGTGAAAGCAGCCGAGGCTGTGGTCTACCTGGGTATTTTGCCGGTGAGTGACCCTAGGTCACGTGCTTTGGGTCCCTGAGCCTCGCTGTCCCCACCTGTAATGTGGAGTACTGATACCTCATTGGCAGGACTCTTGCAAAAACTAAGCATGTGTCCTGGTGTCCCCAGAGCCCAGCTTAGAGTAGAAATCAGGGCAGGGGTGGCCTGAATTACAATTTATGCCTACAAGAAAGGGCGGTGACCCTTTGCTCTCCCCTTCCCTGGGAAGGCTTCCCAGAGATTGGACCAAAACCAGGTACCTCACAGGCCTCCCGGCCTGCTTTCCCGTACCCCCACCCTGATCCAGTCCATCAGCAAGTCCCCCCAGTTCTCCCTCCCACTGTATCTCACAGCTCCCCTGCCCCCTTCCTGCTCCAGCCCCCATGGTCCATTAGCCCATGAAAGACCTCAGGGCCTTTGCACAGGCTGTTCCCTCTACCTGAAACCCATCTTCTCCCAGTTAATACTCCTGGCTTCTGCCCCTCAGCCAAGCACAGGTGTCACCTGCTGGGGGGCTGGAGGGGGGCTTCCTGGACTGGCCTGCTCTAAACAGTAGGCCCCTGGCCTCGGCTCAGCTCTGTACTTCTAATGCTTATCACCTTGGCTATAGTTCACTTATCAGGTTTTGTTGTGTCACCTCCCACTATAGAGGCAGCTCCTGCTGACAGAGAATTGTGTCCCTTTCATTCACTGCTGAGTCTCTGGTGCCCAGAGCAGCGTCTGGCATGCTGGAAGCACTTGAATATTTGCCAAACTGGTACCTCAGCCTGAATGGCCACAGGGGCCTCTAACTGGCCCCCATGTGTCTCTCCACCCAGCAGCCTAAGGGTGCTTTTTAAGTCCCCTCGGCTCCTGTCACCCCTGCTTCAACGCCTGCAGATAAAATCCAACCTTTAACCCCAGCCCATCAGCCTGCAGGAAGGTCCAGAAAACCAGGGGGAGAGGACAGAGAATGCGGAGGCCCTGCAGGCACACCCCCAAAGGCACTCTTACATTGAATAATGTTTAAACCATGTGCAGGCCCAACACCCACCCCCGGGCCAGGCCAGCCGAGGGCCAGAACCGCACCAGCACCAGGGACTGTCCCCAAGCAGCCCCCTGGTCCCCACTCTCCCTCCCCATGGTCTGGCTCTAACACTCCCCCTGCCTTCCTAATGGCCTTTGTCCTCGCTCAGCTCCAGGCTCCATCCCACCTTTGTACATTCTGTCACGTCCTGCTGTGGCTTTCCTCAGCACCCAGCTGGAGAGCTGTGCCCACCACTTCCCAAGGCAGTCCCTTCTCAGCCTCTCTGCCTGGCTGTCACTGCTTTGTTAGTTGACAGGTTAAAGGCTCTCTATTTTGCTTTGCCAGCTCAGTCCATGGGAAGCTGCCGGCCATGTCTACGGAGTCTAGCACCATGCCTGGCACATAACACATGCTCAGTAAAGAAAACGCATCTTCCTATCCCCTAAGGTTCACTGCAGCCTGTCGTGTGCCAGGCACTGCACTCCGTGTGCACGCGTGAAATCACACCCCTCACTTAGTCCTGGAGCCTGGCTCCCCACCCCCCACCCCCCGCGTCCACCCTCCAAGGGACAGGACAGTGCACACAGTGCAATTGTTCAGGCTCCGGAGCCTGGCAGCCCTGCTCCAAAGTCCCCCGGCCCTGCCCAGGTCGGCAGCATGTCCTGGGGCAGGTAATTCCCTGCCTCAGTTTCCTCACTAGACATAGGTGGGAGATGGTGGGGCCACATTGGTAGGATCTCATTGAGGATGAATTGTGCTCAGCACTTGCCTGGCACAGAGAGAGGACCCAATGCTGAAAGCCATTATGTCCCCTTGTCATGGTTGTCATTGTCATTATCATTATTATTATCATGGGTCCCCAGTGGAGCTGGAGTCAGACTGTGACAGAGGGCAGACCCACCCCATGTTTGTGCCAGCTGTCAGGGGCTCTGGGCTTGGGCAAGCCTGGGGACCGAGAGGAAAGGGCCCGTCCGGATGGCAAGGCACGCCCAGATGAGCCAACGTGCCGTCAAATGCTCTTATCTCCATGATTATCCTCATACAGGACATCAAAGGCAGGAAACTGAGGCCCACAGAGGGAGAGAATGGCTTGCCCGGGGCCACATGTACCCAGGGTCACACGCGTGACTCAAAATCCAATGCTTTTTCCCAGTAGAGGATGACCTCTTGGTATCCTCTGCCAGCTGCTGCCTGGGGTGAAATGTCCGAGAAACACTCGTGGTCACCACCTTCTAGTCCTTTCACAGCCTTCACCGTTTTGGAGAAAGCCACCCTTGAAAGACACCCAGAGCTGGGAGGCAGGCAGGCCACAGCACCACCAGGGTCCTGGCCTGGGGACCAGGGCTGAGCCCCAGAGCCAGGCAGGACCCTGGCCACCCAGCCCACAGGAGAAGGCCTGTGCAGCCATGGTGTTTGGGGACTGTGAGGTGCCCACCCTCCAGATTCTGTCATCAGTGCCAATTTTTAATTCAGGTAGAGTGCCCACAGGCACCCTCTCCCCGTCAACTGCCATCCTCTTCCCTGTCAGCCAAAGTGTGTTTCTGTCTCGCCTGGTCACACAGGGTGTAGGGGAGGCCCCCTCCTCGGAGGAGAGGTTTGAAGGCTGAAGCCAGGTCTACACAGGGCTGATTCCAGGGTTATGGCCAGGCGGATGCAGAGATGAAGGGGACAGGGGCCCCACTCTCATCTGGGCGGGGGACCTTTCTCAGCATCTGGCCCCAGCTGGGCCTTGGGGCCAGGCCCCATCTCCCTCCCGCCAGGCCCTTTTAGGCAATTGGGGGAGGTTAATTACATGTCCACATGCATCTCCAAAACTGAGGGCTGAGCCCAGCCTTTGTCCCTGACCAGTGGGGGACGTCAGCCCCCAAACTGGTAACTTAATAAAATACACCACCAGTTCTCCAAGGCACCAACAAAAATACTGTTAGCCATCGGTTTTGGCTGTTTTATGTCACCCTTTCCATTGTAAGCCATCATTTTCAGAGGTTTATAGGTCAGCTATTTTTTAAAAATGTCGTTTTTGACCAAAAGGGAGCACTTTGAAACCAAAAGGCTGGTGGGTGCGCAGGGTGGACCAGCCTTGAGTTCTTCCGCAGAAGCAGAGAGCCCACCCCCACCCCCACCCTGGGCTCTTCCCCTCGTCCTCCCCTCCCCACTCTCCGCAGACCTTCAGGCTGCCCCTCCCCCCGCCCCCCGTGAGGCTTGACGAAGCCATGAACACATCAGGGGTCCTACAGCCCCAACCTGGGGGACACCAGCCCAGGGAGGCTGCCGACCCTGGAGCCATTAGGGCTCCATTTTGTGCAAGTCCCGGGTGCACTGCAGTCAGGTGCAGGGGTGGTCGGTGTTGGCCCAGCCCCTGTGGGTGCCCACCTGAGCCCCATCTCGGCTCATCCCAGGGCAGCTGGGGTGCGGGTGTTTGCTTTGGAGCGAGGGGTCGGCATGTGGGGGTGTGTGTGTGACAAATGCAGATGCAGGGCGGGGCCGCTCAACCCTAGATTAGGGGCCTGAAGCAGGTGGGCGCGGGCCAGCCTTGCCAGGAGAAAGTCCCCTTTGGGGGTTGCACCTGGTGTCCCATCCTATCTCCCTAACTTTTGGGGTGGCAGAGAGGAAAGCTGGAGTCAGTACAAGCACACAGAGCTGAGTTGCAGCATTTTTCGGCCTCTTTATTTAGAACCCGGCGGACGAGGGGCCGGGGCAGTGGTGCAGACGGCTCAGGAACCATTTTAACAGATTTGTCTTCAAGTTTAAAATAGTCATAATAATAAAAGAGACAGCGAAAGCGCGAAGAGACTGCAAGCTAGATGGGCTGGGACGGCAGCTGCGGCTGGCGGGCGACCCCCCAGAGTCCGCTATAAAAATAAATTTACATTTGTGGATAACCAGATGCGGGTGACGTGCCTTTGGCATAACCAATAACCGAGCTATCGCGTGGCAGAGCGGCCCACGCCTCGACATAAATAGAAAATATAAGTTAGTATAACTTTTTAAACTTTTTGTACAAATATACATGTTTTTTTCTTTTTTCCTTTTTTTTTTCTTTTTTCATTTTTTTGCACTGAGTTTCAGCAGAGATTAAACATTTTATATAAATGACTCTTAAAGCTTTACACCTTGGGACCAGTGTACTCTTCGTGCAGAATACATTTAGATATAAAAGACGTTATTAATACATTGCACAGTTTTCAAACTTTAAACACAAAACCGAACGCTGCTCCGTGGCAGCTGCCGCCGGTTGCTGCTACATGGACGGTCCCAGCCGAGGCCCAGCGCTCCTCTCCTGTCCGCTGCCCAGCGGGCTCCCTCAGGGCTCTTTGGGCGCGAGGCTGCGGGAGAAAAGTGCGGTGAGCGCGAGGAGACGGTGACTGCGGGGACCCCGCGGGGCGGCCCCTCCCCGCGCGGCCCCCGCCGCCGCACTCACCTCATCGCAGCCGCTTGCGCGGGGTTTGCTCCGCGGAGCCGACGGCTGGAGCGCCGCCAGGCGCGGTGCATCCCGCGGGGACCTCGTTGGACGCCTTGGCCTCGGGCGCGGGTCTCTTGCGCTTGGGAAAGAAATCTGCGGGCGACAGCGCGCGCGGCCGGTCAGGGCGGGGCGGGCGGGGGGAACCCAAGAGGGGCCCGGCCGCGGTGGGGGCGCTGTCCCCGCCCGCGCCAAGGTCCGCGGCGGGTCAGCTTTGTTTACGTCGCCGCGCAATGTGCTGTGTAAGCATTTCCCCTTGTCCCGCGGCCAAGCCCCCCGGGGCCGCCGCGCGCTTAACCCCCTCCGCGCCGCGATCGCCGCGCCGAGCCGCGCCCTGGGAGGGGCCGCCGTGGCCGAGGCGGGGACCGCGCTCCGAGGGGGCCAGAGCGCGCTCTCCCGTCTCTCCCGCTCCCGCCAGCGGCTGGCGAGCACGACAGGGCGGCGGCCGGGTGCGAGCGCAGCCGCGCCCTGCGCGCTACGGGCCCTTTAATGCCACGGGAGGAGGCGGGGACCCAGGGAGGCCCCCGAGGGCCGGGGAGCCCGGCCAGCCGGACAAAGCAGGGCCGGGGCGGGGCCGCGCGGGACTCACCGGAGATGAGCGACCCCGGCAGCTTCTTGATCGCGGCGCCCCCGGCGGCGGCGCTGGTGGCAGCGGCGGCGCTGGTGGCGGCGGTGCCCGGCGCGGGGCGCCCAGAGACCCCTGAGTGCGGTGGCTCAGCGAGGGGCTCCTGGCCGCGCGGCGGCGGGCCCGCCTCCTGCTCAGCGCTCTCCGGCGGCGCCGCGGCTGGGGCCGGGGCCGGAGCCGCGGCCGAGCCACTAGACGGCGACGCCGGCGCCTCCCCCAGGCCGTCGAGGGGCTCCTCGGCCGGCGGCCCGGGGGGCGGGTTGGCGCCCGCGCCGTCCGGGCGGGGCCGAGGCGCCAGGAGCAGGCGGCAGCGCCCCACCTGCACCGTCTCGCGGTAGAAGGCGGGCACCGATTCGCTGTCCACCTCGGTCCACTGCAGACGCCCCGGGCCCGGCAGCGGCATGTCCTGCTGGAAGTTGTAGTCCCAGCGGCGCTGGTCCTCGGCAGTCAGCTCGGCGAGGCGCATCTGCAGCTCGCGGCTCAGCTCCTCGTGGTCCACCGGCCCGAAGAGGCTGCGGCAGGCGCTGGAACGCACTAACGGAGGAAAGGTGCGGCGGGAGACCAGGCGCTCCATTGCCGATGAGCTGCAGAAACACACGTCGGACGTGGCCAGGGGCTGCGAGGGCCACGATGCAGGACAGGAGGGGAGAGGGGAGAACAGGAGAGGAGGAGGAGGAGGAGAGGGCGGAGGCCGGGAGCAAGTGAGACCCCACGCAGCTGGAGTCTGCATTTGCAAAGGGACGCGGCGGGAGGGTGGGCGCAGCGGCTACCTGGCTGTCTGGCCGTGGACGGCTCCTGCGTCTCGCTCGCTGTGTCGTCCGGCCGGCGGCCGCGCCCCCTCGGTGCCTGTCCTCGCTCGCTCGGCTGGTTCTAGCCTGGCTGGCATCCACCGAGCGCAGAGCACTTGGCCTGTGGAACGCCCAGCCCTCGCGCGCCCCTTTATATGCGAGGGTCCCACCCCCCCCC